GAGCATTCTCGGGCATTACATATGAAGCATTTCCAGTGTGTCTTACGTCTATTCCGGGGACGTTGACAGAATTTAAATCATAGATCTCAGGAATTTAGTGTCGCTTTTCCAGTTTCTGATGAGAAAAGTGATACTGTAGGGCTAGTCCCGTCCTCTGTGTCTCCAACAGCTCTTACCTCCTGCTGGTAACCAATATTTGTTCCCATTTGGTGGAAGGAAGGCTGAAATCCAGATCAAGGATTTGGCTAAGGTCACCAAGAATCTGGTCAATCAAACCAAGGAGAGGACACCAAACTATTGCATTTCCAGCCCAGAAAATATAACCCTTTGGTCTCATGCACACTTCCCTGCTTTTAAAAATGATTTCAAGGTGTCTGCAAGGTTACTGGAACTCTCCCAGAAGAGAGCAAGCTTCAAGAAATACAACCTGAACGTGAGCAATCTGAGATCTAGAAAGCGAAGGGCATGTGTGGTGTAGACAGATGCAGAAGCCTGGCCCCACCTGGCCCCACGGCTCCGCCTCGCCTCCACTCCCTCAGTAAAAGCCTGTGTCCTCTCCAAACTGCAGGCAAGGGCTTCACGTAATGTTCCTGTGCCCCTTTACAGGCACTGCTCCCCTGTTCTGCCGGCCCCAGGGTTGATCCATGGTATCCCAAGTAGCCTTGGTTACACTTTTCCGTTTTTCTCTGTAGGTCGGAAGTCCCTTTCCATCCTAAGCTAACTATCACCTGCTTTCATCCATTTATCACTAACTTAGCCGTTGCCATCATGCTGGTTTTCAATCTTTCTGCAGTTGCTGAGTGCCAGAGGGACATTATTAACTATCCTTAGAGGTCTGGCACAGAGGAGAAGCTTTCTGACCGATTTGCAATGCACATTTAGAAATGTTCATATTAGAAGACCCAGTGGTTGGGGGAGTCCCTCTTCTTCCCTACTTTTTGAACTTGGCGCACTTACATACAGTTTTGGGACCTGGAGAAATCTCTGGTTCTTTGCCTTTGTTTTCCTAGAGCTCCTTACATAGGAAAAATGTTAACACCATGTGTTGATCCCTAACAGTTTTCTCCCTTTTTCAGTTTTCCGGAGGCCAATGTAACATGATCGTTGTTGATATGTTCAAACGTTAGGGACATTCAGAGGGTAGAGAGGGAATATCCAACCATGGCGACAAGTTTAGCTTAGGGACCAGGTCTTTTTTTTTTTTTTTTTTGAATTGGCAATACATTCACCTGGTTCAAAAACCACACATGTAAAAGATGTACAATGAAAATTTCCTTACCCTCCCCCCAGCTAGCTTCCATCTCACCTCCACTAGCAGACACTTTTGTCAGTTTCTTTTGCATCTTTCCAAGTTTCTTTAGCAAATCCAGGCAAAAACATATCTATAGTTATTCCTTCCCTCCCCTTTACACGTAAGGTAACATACTGTGAGCACTGCTTTGCATCTTGCTTTTTTATTCTACATAAGAGATATTCAGCAATTTTTGATTCAGAACGTAAAGAACCCAGAAATACAAAGCCATGGCATATGTGTGCACGCACACACACGCTTTTCTTCCTTTCTTTTTTTGGCATAAGTAAGCAGGATAAATTAATTGAGCCAAGAATTGTTCAGCCTGCTCCTCTCCATGGGCCTTAGGAAGAAATAAACCAGGGATAAGGTCTGATAAGAAGGTTCTGTTTGATAGGTAGTAGCAGAAGGTGGGAGTAGGTAAGGTGTAGGAGCCAGAACTGCTCAGGTTCCTGTCTTGCTTGTTCAGAAGACACTGTGAGATCCAGCTCTTTTAGGGACAACCAAAACTGGGGATGCCTCTCCTCTTGGAGGCCTTCTACACTGTGATTGTTTTTATCACCAGAAACAAAAATTAGAGCATCCCAAGAGACAGTAACTAAAGAATGGGCTTCATCTTCTTTATTCTTTATTAAGTACGATGTCATCGTAAATACAAAACTCACCATCGGTCTCAGAGTAAGACTTTCCAACAGTGCAGACTGCCCCAGGGTCCAGAACTGGTGAAGTTCATTCCTTAGCGGGTGGCCAACCAAAGACTTTTGCTGAGAAGTTCAGCCAAGCCGCTGAAAGTAGAATTATTCCAAGAAATCCTCTGACCTATTTTTTTTTTTTTAATTTCTCTCAGCACAAAGAAAAACTAAAAGTTCCTGGTATCAACCAATCACAATCTTCTTCTTTAACTGCTTTTGTGCTTGCAGGAGCACGCACGCACGCACGCGCGCGCACACACACACACACACTTCAAAGGAACAAACAAGCAAGCATGTTTTTCGGAGGGACTTAGCCTATTCAAGGGACGCTGCATTACTCCCCTTCCTCACAAGGCAGACAAGATATTTCCTGAAAGGAACACAGAAACCTTAATGTATTTTGCCTAGGAACTACAGTCCCAGGCTGTTAAAAGGATCTTACATGAGGATGTCAGGGGAACTCACACCTACACAGGGAATTTTTCCAAGTCTTCCAAAACAGCAATTGTAATCGCTGCTCAGACAGCAGAACTCAACTCTGGGTACATACCTTCTGCCTCTTTGGCCACTTCTGTCCCACCGCAAATCATCAGCTTGTGACAGCATTCAGCCTCGGGAACAGAAAATGCTGAGGACTCCTCTTTCTTCTGCCCTGTGCTGCCAAGTCCAGAGGTCTTGTCTTTATTAAATATCTGACTACTCAACTGGGGAGATACAGGGTGTGCTATTTTTCCCTCTCTTAGTCCTTCTAGGCAGCACAGGAAGGATTCATTTTTTTTAAATGATTTTTTTAATGTTTATTTTTGAGAGAGAGAGAGAGAGAGACAGAATGTGAGAAGGGGAAGGTCAGAGAGACAGGGAGACACAGAATTCTAAGCAGTTTCCAGGCTCTGAGCTGTCAGCACAGAGCCCGACATGGGGCTCGACCTCAAGAACCACGAGATCATGACCTGAGTGAAGTCTGACGCTTAACCGACTGAGCCACTCAGGAGCTCCAAGGATTCATTTTTAAATCCTGTTAAAAAGTGAGCAACTCAGCAAAGAACTGAAGGCAGGGTTGGAGTTAAAATGAAGAGAAGACTGGTAGCATAAATTGACATTTAAATATTTGAAAGAAGGGGCGCCTGGGTGGCTCAGTGGGTTGAGCATCCAAATGTTGATCTCGGCTCAGGCCACGATCCCAGGGACATGGGATCAAGCCCCAAATCAGGCTCCACACTGGGTTTAAGATTCTCTCTCTCTCCCTCCCTCTGCCCCTCTCTCCTGCTTTAGGCACACTTTCTCTCTCTCTCTGAAGTTAAATAAATGAATGAATGAAAGAATATATGCTGAAATGCTGTTTGGATGGCACTATCTAGCCCCCTCGTTTTACAAGTTCTAGAAGGTAACTCATCCAAGATGGCAGTTAATAGTGGGAGCAGAAGGCAGATTGCTCTTCTGAGTCCAGTGTTCAAGTCCACTTCCTGTCACTGCTGGTTTTCTCAGAAAGGGAAGGCAGTAGTCTAATCCTGCCTTAGTTTATCTCTGAAGGACACCTCCACACCCTTTGAGTGCTCAGTGGCCTATGATGACGTGCTGGGCTGTATCCTGGGACTCACTCAATTGCAAATGACAGAAACTCAACCTTGACCAGCTTAGGCAGAGGGGAAATGAATCCATTTCTGGAGCCTGGAACCAAACCTCAAGGTGGTGGACATGGGTGAATCTTTGCTTCAGGGACAACCCGGACAGAACCCTCACATGCTGTAAGGTGTGTATTTGCATATGTCTTTGTCCCCCGTCTTTGCTTCTCTCTTCGCATCATTTCGTTCTGTCAAACTGGATTTCTCCTCAGGCCTGAAACCACAGCCAGGGACTGTCCCATCTTTGCCACAAGAGAAGACAAGAGAAGGGACTCTCTTCCTTTGTTTCTAGTTTGAAAACAACCCTGAAGGGCTCCGGGACCTTTGGGTCACATACTTACTCCTGCACTCAGGGGTGCAAAGGGGTAGGGTTGGTAGCACCCCAATACTGAAGAGAGGTGGGATTAGTTCATCCCACAATGGGATGGTCTCCACAGAAGAAAGGCAGAGGGCTGGGAAGACAAACACTGGATGGCCCCTCTCCTTCCCCTCCTTTGCACAGCTCAGCCTGACGACCTCATCTCAGATTCTCTCAATACCCAGAATTCTGAGCTGTTTTGCTGATGTGCGCTGTCTCTCAGACATTCCACTTCATCACCCATGTGGGTAGACCCCTCAGTCTGAGGGACTAGCCCAGCAGAAAACCAAGTTTCAAAAAAAAAAAAAAAAAAAGTCAATGATTAACATTTTACCCTGAACCAAAGTGCTAGGTGACATTACAAAAGAAAGACTTTTTTTTTTTTTTTATTTTAAAATCACTAAATCCTGGGGCGCCTGGGTGGCGCAGTCGGTTAAGCGTCCGACTTCAGCCAGGTCACGATCTTGCGGTCCGTGAGTTCGAGCCCCGCGTCGGGCTCTGGGCTGATGGCTCGGAGCCTGGAGCCTGTTTCCGATTCTGTGTCTCCCTCTCTCTCTGCCCCTCCCCCGTTCATGCTCTGTCTCTCTCTGTCCCAAAAATAAATAAATGTTGAAAAAAAAATTAAAAAAAAAATAAATAAAATCACTAAATCCTTACTGCTGCAAATTGCACACGACCTTAAATGCCTGAACTCCGAAGATCATACATCGTTGGGGAAATACTTCTCAAGCAAGAACATTTTATCCTAGGGCTTCAGCAAAAAAATCAGTCTTTCCTGCCCTCCCTGTCCTGGCATCTCAGATTGAACTTCTGAGATTTATTAGCTTTATTCTTCTGAGCTTGGACAACTTCAGAAAGAAGAAATATTTCACCCTTTCCTCTTGCCTGGTAAAAAAGCACAAAACTACAGAATTGTTTCTTCTGCAAAAATTTCAATGACTCTTCCGTTCTATTTATGATTTTCTTTGCCACAGATATCTTTCAGCCACAGGATTCCAAAGCCTTCCAGTGTCTCACTAGTTCAAGTTATATGAATGCCAGCAGCAGCAGGCACTTAGTGCTCCTCTCTAAAGGAGCGGACACTCAGATGTTCTGAGCTGACCTTGCTCACTGGCCACAACTGATGCCCTGATCCAAGAGGCATTCATCACAAATCTTCCCCAGGATTTAAAAAAAATTGTGGTCAAATCCACATAACTAAAAAATCTATCATCTTAATCATTTTTCTATGTACAGTCCAGTAGCGTTAAGTACATTCACATTGTTGTGCCAGCAACCACCAGAACTCTTCCAGCTTGTAAAACTCAAACTCTTAACCCGTTAACTCTCCATTCCCTTCTCCCCCTCCTCTGAGCCCTAGAAACCATCATTCAACTTTCTGTCACTGTGAATATCACTGTTGTATGTTGTATTAGGAAAAAAAAAAAAAAAAAAACAGTCGTCCCCCGGTGTGTCTCCTTTACTCTCACACGACTTCCACACTTACAGCATTTCTGACATTGGAGTTGTGGGCATTTCCCCCACCAAGCAATTCTGCAACACCAGCTGACTGTCCCACAAGTTAACTCACTTTTGATGCTCTCTGCCTGGAATTAGCATCAGATCCAACAGGGTAAGGGCGCAGTCCCTTAAAACTTCATTGGACTTCAATGCCAAGAGCAAGTAGAAGGTCCCTAGGTTACCCACATCTTCTGTCTGACTTGGCCACAAACCAGAGGTTCCCATGACCTCCCCCTTGGATTTGATTATTTGCTAGAATAGCTCACAGAACTCAGGGACACTTACTTATATTTATCAGTTTATTAAAGGATATAATAAAGGATATGGATAAACAACTAGATTTGAAAAATACATAGGGCAAGGTCTGGGAGGGTCCTGAGTTCAGGAGATTCTGCCCCTGGTGTGGCATATATCACTCACCTGGTACATGGATGTGTTTGCTGACCTGGAAGCTTTCAGAACCCCATACTACTAGAACTCTAATGAGGCCTCCTCACATAGGCACAATCAATTATTAACTCCATTTCCAGCCTCTCCTCTCCCTAGAGAAGCGGGGGGGTGGGGTGCTGAAAACTCCAAGCTCTTCTTTATGTCTTGGTCCTTGTGGTGACCAGCCCTCATCCGGGAGTCATCCAAAAGTCCACCCAGAGTCACCTCATTGGAACAAGAGATGCTCCTATAGTGCCCTGACGACTTAGGAAATTACAAGGGTTTTAGAAGCTCTGTGCAAAGAATCAGGAGCCTATATATATATGTATATATATATATATATATATATATATATACACACATATATATATATAGTTACATATGCATAAAATATATGTACTTTCTATTGACAGAGACCAACATATCTAGTTTCTATTATCTCGCATATGCACATACCACATTCTGTTTATCCATTCATTTATCAATGGATACTTGGGTTGCATCTGCCTTTTGGCTACTGTGAATAATGCTTCTGTGAACACAGGAGCACAAATACATATTTGAGACCCAGCTTTCCGTTCTTTGGGGTATATGCTCAGAAGTGGAATTGCTGGATCATAGGGTGGTTCTATTTTCAATTTTTTGAGGAACCTCCATACTGTTCTCCATAGTGCCTGCATCATTTCATATTCCCGCCAAGAGTGCACAAGGCTTCCAATTTATACACAGCCTCACCAACACTTGTTATCTTCTGGAGTTTGTTTGTTTTTTAGACTAGCCATCCTAATGGGTGTGAGGTGGTTTTGCCAGGATTTGTAACTGATCATTCTCTCCTATGACAGACGCCATGGAGGTGGGACTCCTGAGTTAATTGTCATATTTTCTTGACATGTGGAGGAACACAGTCTGTGTTGTTTCTAGGGTGCTAGTTAATCCTACCATTCTCCCCTTCAAAGTTCTGAACCCAACTGAACCCTCTTCACAGAAGCCCAAGAGGCTCCAGTGGGGACTGAAGTAGCCACGTCAGTACTTTTCAAGGTGGACCGCGGACTCTGCCTGGAAGTCATGTCCAGGCTAGTCTTTCTATTCCTCTTCCCTCACCAAGTGGAATTTATTTACCAGGCAATGCAATGGCAGGCCTGCTGTGCCACCCCTCCTTACCCTTCCCTCCCCTGCCCCACAACAGTGGCAGAGAAGGCTCTGGTGGATTTACTGCAGAGAGTGGACAGGATGACAGAGAAGACCACATCCTGCCTGTCCCCAGAAGGAGGAGGCCATGCCTGTGTAAGGAATAACCCCAATGCCAACCTCAACAGTGAGAAGAAGCCACTCCCTCATCCTGGGAGAAAGACAGGGACCTGACAGGGAGAAGGAAAGCTGAGTGTCCAGAAGCTCTGAGAAAGCCGACTCACCTTTACAGTTGGTGACTTAGGCTGACGCTTGAAGGGAGGGGAAAATGTCTCTCTCCCTGTGTCCCCAATATTTCCAACATTTAGGTTTCTTAACATGCAGGGCTCAGCACCGCCTGAGTGCATCTATACCTCCTGAGAAAGGATGCTAAGTGTCCTCAGCCGTGATGAGGCTGCTCCCCGGGAATTATCACCATCCCCTTGCGATCCCTCCTGAGGTCAGCCAGGGCACCCTGAAGGCTGTGAAATGGGTCTCAACGGAGCATTGATTAAATTCTCTCAAGGTTCGGGGCATCTGGGTGGCTCAGTCAGTTGAGCCTCCTACTTCGGCTCAGGTCATGATCTCACATTTTGTGGGTTCGAGCCCCGCATCAGGCTCTGTGCTGACCGCTTGCTTAGAGCCTGGAGCCTGCTTCAGATCCTGTGTCTCCTTCTCTCTCTGCCCCTCCCCTACTCACGCTTTGCTTCATTCTGTTTCT